ATGTTCTGGGTGCATATGTTATCGTAAGTTCGCTTTCGAGTTTTTCTTTACTCGATACTGCTTTAATTGCGGAATGCAATATATTGGTTCTTAGATTGAGAAGCTTGGAAAAGTCCAATTTGTGCTCAATTTTCTGTATTTTTTCAAGCACTTTGTGAAAATTTACGTGAACCTTCTATAGTACCCAAGGTGTCCATAAAAAGGATTTATTATATTTTGCGGCTTTTAGCAAGAGAAAATTTTTGATGACTTCGATGTTCTTCGGATTTGGGAGCTAAACTTGTCCTAAGCATTCAACATCTTCACGAAAGAAGTCAGCTGCATTTTCTGTTTGGTTTTGAGACGGTCTGAGGTGTTTTTATCAGATGAATTTGGATAGCAAGTTGTTAAGAATTATTTTGTGCATCGAAAAAGTTTTCTTCTCCAATTAGGTGACAAATTGCAATCTCGATAGTGTCTGGATTTTCAAATCTAATTGTTTGCTAAAAGGATGCCAAGATATTTCTAATGAGAGTTCTTAAGGATACTTCTACGAGAGCATGGAAGTGGCATATAAATAATATTATTTCTCCACAATTCACACTCATAACTGTGACTTCACAGTTAAAACTGCGAATTCACAGTTCGAAGTGAGATTTTTCAGTTACACTTGTGGATTGCCAAATTCACAGGTATAACTAGACAGGAATCTGTCACTCATTCAATTCACACTCATTACTGTGACTTTACAGTTAAAACTGCGAGTTCACAGTTCGAAGTGAGATTTTTCAGTTACACTTGTGGATTGCCAAATTCACAGGTATAACTAGACAGGAATCTATTTGCATTCACACTTTTTATAAGTCACAATAAATGTTGATCAATGAAACAAAATCTAATCTGTAACCTAATCTAGCTAAAGATATATTCAACTAATAAATTTGCAACACAATTTGCTTTTTCAAGTTTTAATTGCAACTGTTGAATTTGACTTCGGTTCACTGAGGTCACAGATTAGAATCCGTTTGATTAACAATTATATACTCAATATATTTATTGAAAATTAATTTGCGATAAATATAACTTGCTGACATTTATTATGCCAAGTGTCGAGTAAATGTGAAAAACTCGTTATCTTCAGACGCTGTCAACAATTTACAGTTATAAGTGTAATCAACTGTAAATTCACGATTGTGTGATTTATGAAAACTAATATTCTAGTTCATTGTTGTCCCCATACGCTAGGTATTTCCGTCTAACCTTTTTGGAAAATATAGTGGTCGTTCATTTTTGAAAGGTCTGACTACTAAAAGATCATGTTCCAGACATTCCACACGTATCTGCAAAACACTGAATCATTGCCTTTTTGATCAAACACGAATTGTTTAAGTCTCATACTTCCTGCTAAGAAATTGACCTACTGAATAATTTTGACAGAATAACTTTCAACAAATAGTTTTTGAGAATAGGGACTGTAGCATTTGGAATGAGTTGAATCTAGAAAATCGTAATTAGAATTGAAATGAGTCCATTCCGATTGTCATCGTAGGGCATATTCATGTCTATGTAGAATTAGATCCCGAATCGGACATAATGCCGTAAACTTTGCGAAAACAAAAACTGCGATCTAATTCTATCTCTATCTAATGCGTCCAATTCAAGTAGAAAACTGTTGAAAAAATTTGAATTGAATCTAAGAAATTAAAAAAAATTTCAAAGAACTCACATCGATATTTGCAAATTTTAATCTGCATGCAAAGTGGGATTCTACAAACCCTGATTTTTTTTGCTATTTTTATTATTATTGTTGTTTAGATGTAATAATAGTTTGTTTTTTTGTTGTTGATTCTGAAAAGTGAACCTAAGACGTTTTGTTCAAGAATCATGTTCTTTTGTAAAAATCTGGGATTAGTGATTTATTTTCTCCACTACATATTTCATAAGCATACGATTAGGAATCATCCCTTTCTGTGAAATATAATATTATCAAGATCTGATCGCCATTATTATTTGACATATAAGTAACTGATATAAATAGCGTATGCAACTCTCATGTAATGGTTATTAATACACTCGCATAAACCATACAAAACTCGCCTTCGGCTCGTTTCGTATCCCGGTTAATGCTCGTGTCTTAATAACCATCATTACATGATCGTTGCATAATATACTATTTTGAATTTCATTTTGGCTGGAAGGTCTCGCAACAACTGCAACTTGGTTCCTATATTTGGGAAGGGAAAACTCTTGATAGCTGTGCCATTATACATCAGTCTATTATTTGAACTTCATTCTGTTTTGATTTTTCTTGAATTATTGTTGCAGTTGTACGGAAGGTCAGAAGGGCCTTACTGATTTTTGGTATATTTCTGACATTAGATTTGGAATTAACCCAAAATTTCCAACAATGAACTAGGAGTGAGTTTAGATTAGGTCAAGAGGGTATGTTAGGTTATAATAAACAAGACATCAAAATTCCGAGTTTGAAGTTCCAACTGTCACGACACGTTCATATTTTAATCAATATATGTCGAAAGTTATAGAGTGTTTCATCAGAAGCACTCAGTTAAATTATGATGATAATATATTGGTTCAAACTAACCAACGATACGAATCATAATTAGTGATCATGATTTACTACGATGTGTAAGCCAATGTGCGAAAAATACTTGTTATTTTAGTCTTAACCATTTTTTGATGATGCTAAATTGGTTAGCGAAACGCGCGTCGAGCGACATTTTTGTTCTGTTGAGGGAAAAGCTTTTTCAATAGATTCATAACACAGGTCTGTTATGAAAAAATTGTAGGATATTTAACTAGTGATTTTAACAGTATTTTGCATGCAGATTACGGAAAAAATCGTAAAAAAATTCTATCACCTATAGATAAGTCATAAATTTCACGTGAAATTTTCTTATTAAATGGGTTTTTAGGTTTGGTATGGGTTCGATGTTTCTGTATTGAATAGCCTATATAGTGGTTACACTAAGTTTCCATGTTTCCTATGTGAATGGGATAGCCGTGACAGCAAACAACACTATGTCAAGCAGGTGTGGCCAATAGAAAGGGTCTTATTCCTGGAGTTAAAAATGTTGAAAAACAAAGTTTCAGTGGATCCTAAAAAATCTTACTTTCACCACTCCATATCAAATTGGGGCTAATGAAACAGTTTGTGAAAGCATTAGACAAAGAAGGATATTGTTTTAAGTATTTTTCTGAAAAGTTTCCTGGTCTATCCGATGCTAAGCTAAAAGAAGGAGTCTTCGTTGGGCCTGACATAAGAAAACTCTTAAAAGATGAAAGCTTTATCACTAAAATGGAAATGAAAGAAAAAATGCCTGAAATTCATTTAATTTTGTTATAACAGGCTTTCTTAGAAACAAAATAGACCCAAACTACAAAACTTTGATTGCTGAATGGATACAAAACTACAAAATGTTGGGCTGCAACATGAGTGTCAAAGTCCATTTCCTTCACTCACACCTGGACTACTTTCCCGAAAATCTAGGGGCTGTAAGTGAGGAACAAGGAGAATGGTTCCATCAAGACATGAAAGAAATGGAACGCAGATACCAAGGTCGGTGGAATGTTAACACGATGGCAGACTACTGTTGGATGTTAAAAAGGGAAAATTCACAAGAACACAGCCGAAAAAATACCAAAAGAAGCTTTTACGGAAAGAAAAAACGTATTTACAACGACTTATAATCACTTTGCAAACACTTGTGTATCACTATTATGCTTAGTTTAGCTATGTAGCATTTTTTTGCTTTTACTTCATGTTAAAATAATAAAAATAAATTCACAATTCTTCGTTTTTTGTACTTTTTCAATTATTTCATCCTCATTTTGTAGGCAAACCTTACGTGATAGATAAAAACGAATGTCATTTTTTAAATCAGCGCAAAAAACTACATAAAGATCAGTTAACGAAATCAAAACCATTTTTTAAAAAGTTTTTTTTGCAGACCTGTGTGATTAATTATATCTTAGGATACTAGAACACGCTCTAGTGTTTATTGGTGTCTTTCATATACTTGACAAATCATAGGCATGAATATATCATAAATATTTGATCAATATGTAAATTTTTTATTTCTCTGAATATAGAAGGAAGTGAGGAGTAGTTGGAACATATATCGTTAGAAAACACTACAGATGACCTATTTCGAATAGTTATTACTTTTGTTGAAATATATCAACTTTGTAATATTATCTGACCTCCTGCGGTCGAAATTCAGCCTTAAGGTGCTTTCACTCTGGTGATCTGTTGATTTTATTTGTCGTGATTTTATTGTATGTAACGTATGCATGGGGGTCCCTTTAACCTTACCGAAGACAAGTTTTTTCAATCGCGAATTAAGTGTGTGAGTGTATCTGTAAGAAAGTGTCTATTAGTAATCTGTTTATGAAGTTTTTATACTTACAGGAGCCGCCTGACAGCGACTCTCCGAGGTAGTCGTTCCTCTAGTCTGTCCGCTTGCTGTTGCAAATATCTAGTGACTTGCCCGTGGCTAGTCATCTCTAAGAACCGTAACTGTACGATGCGCTATTGCACTACAGCATATTTGAGTATGGGATTTCTATGGCTTCCCGTCCCGTACGAGTCGACTGTGGTATCCATGATCGGGGGCAAGTAGTTTCACATCTTCAACCAGTATAGTGTGATCTCCTTCACTAAGCGTGTGTTCCGCTACTGCCGTTTTGTCTATTTGACCTGATCTACAGTTTCTCTGATCTGTTGAAGATATCTATATAAACTTATCCACAGGTGCATGGTATACGATATACCCCTGCAGCTGATAGTGGATATCTTTTGCCGTTCGCAGATTTAAGGCGTTGTTGTATGTTCCGGGTGGGCTTGAATACTGTTTTTATTGAATGTTTCCCTAAGATTTTTCCGATTCTGTCGGATGTACGGTAGGATATTATTATGAGTTCTGTGATGCTTTGTCGAAAGTAGTTTAAAAATGGTATGGCAGCACTGCTCGTAAAATTTTGTTATGTTATTCATCTTTATTGTTCTGTGATCCGATCCATATTAGAATATAACCAAAAATACATGAGGGTAAAATGGTTCGAAAATTGAAATACCATGAACAGAAACTACTGAAGAAAGTTGATTTCATATCATGGGAAGTAGACAATAATCTACATGAAGTTAAAGTACTCAAGAAATATCACATACAAAAACGGGAAGATTATACAAAGTAAGTCTATAGAAAAATGTAGGAGATTGTTTTTAAATGTTTTTCTTTCAGGTATAATAAATTAGCTAGGAATATACGGGAACTTGCAAGAAAAATTAAAGAAATCGACTCAAATCATCAATTCAGAACAGAAAGCAGTGCTCAATTGTTAGAAAAACTGTAAGTACTGTATAACAATATATATGATTTTGCATTAATATTGCAACTTAAAATCATTGATCAATGGCTTACAATCTGTGGATGGTTTCCTATTCAGCTCAAATAGGATTAAATAAAAATTCACACTATTTTTAGGTATCTTATGGGATTGATCCCTACAAGATGGGATCTCAGTTTAGCAGAAAAAGTAACAGCATCTTGTTTTTGTCGTAGGCGTTTACCAGTTGTAATGGTTAGAAGTGAGTTAATGTAAATGAACAGAAAATATTTTTTATATAATCAATATTCATTTTAGATAAAATGTCAGAGACAATAAAATCAGCTACAAAATTAATAGAGCAGGGACATGTAAGAGTGGGACCAGAATTGATAAAAGATCCAGCATTTCTGGTTAATAGGACATTGGAAGATTTTGTTACTTGGGTAGACAATTCCAAGATCAAACAGCATGTACTGGAGTACAATGGATTGGTAAGTTGCCTACTGATGGAAAATTCATCAACTTGTCTAGGCAATCTTTGACTGTAGAGTCACTGTCGTGAAGACTGCTTCGTTGTCATACTCGTATAAGGTCTTCCGGGAAACAAGACTCTACTAAAGGATATAATATGGCTGCACAAGTATCTGAAGTTACATTGAGGGTCTCAAAAGCATGCAATTAGGATTCCATTTTGTCATAAAGGATGCTAAGGTTATTTTGAGTCGACAAATTGTTCAGTATTAGTTTCAACAACTCATGCACATAGAATTCTACAAGACCTTTCCTCCCAAGTTTTCTTTAAGCTTTCAATTACTTTTGGGTAATTTTCTGCACTGGAAGGGTAACTATCTATGAGTTGACGAGCTTTTGAATTAGGTATTGATGCTTGGATTAGATAGTAAAATTTGTCCTCTGGTGCAATGTCTTCATCATCATGCACCCTCTGAAACTGACTCCAAAAAAGAAGCCATTCTTCGATCTCACCACCAAACTTCATAAATTGAATTTTCGTTAGTTTGAGTTTTTTCTTCGTTTCACTAGAGCATTGAGAAAGAGAGTCAGCAATAATGTTCTTGTTTGAAAGATTTTCAGCTGAAAGTTTGACTTTAAAATACTTGTCACAATATTCATCAGCCGTAGATATTTCTTTGTTCAAAGCATCTTCGTCGTCTAATGAAAAATCCACCATTTGTCTATGTAAATCCATCAGGACCTGGATTTTCTGCTCTAGAATATCAATTTTGCTGAATATGGCAATCTTGTCAGTGTTCAAAATATCATTGAAAACCTGGTCGAATGTTTTTCGCTGCACTGCTAGTACCTTCAATACCTTCGCCATAGTCGGTGTCGTCACAGTCGCCAAATGTTGAATATTCGAAATTCACTTACCTGGTGACTGAATACGTCGAATGTAGGACGAAATATGGATCGGAAACTATGAAAGTACTCAACAAACACAAATATATTAAAAAAAACGTTTAATACAATTGACTTATCAATTATATATCAATGACACTTACTTGACAACTTCTTAGAGAGAATACAATGTGTTTAAAAAAACTTTACCAAATTCAGAAAATGAACTATCTGCGACACATTGAGTTACATGAATTCAGTTTGTGCTCCAAAGGTTCCTTATGGAATTGAATTATATATAAATCACAGAAATGCTACACAATATAGTATATGAAAAAGATGAAATTTTACTTACGTGGAACATTCATCCTCAATGGCAGTCATCGATGTTTATTGCCTCTTCAGCACCCAGCTGGATGACATATCTTGTTTTAATTGAAAGGGGTATATTTTTAGGACAGATCAGTTTTTGGGAAAGGTTTTCACTTTCTACTTCTCCTTTGGAAGTTTCCCACATTTTTTTATAAGATGAAAATTTGGACAGCCAAAACCTTTCTTTCCCATGTAAATAAATTTTTTTTGAAAAAATACTTCATTATTGAATATGAAATTTTTAAAATCTTATAATTTACTTTCATATTTTCCTAACAGTATGAAAGGATTTTTCATCAATAAGATTTTGAATATATTCATCTCGACAACTCTGATCAGTTCAAAAGAGGTTTGGAAATATATCAATGAAATAATTAAACAAGGATAGATACTGAATCAACAGGTCAACTGAAATAACAAATATAAAAATCATTCAAAAATTCTTAGAGTTGATAAAATTCTAGATCAATGACAGGTTTTCCTAAGTATGGAAATCTTTGTCTAAGGTTTTGTTCGTTTTCCAAAGAAAGAAATTATATTGACCTCAAATTACAATTTCTGTTACATTCGAAAATATCTGCCATAACATAATTTGCTTATGTACTGCCTACAATAAAAAAATATACAAACATTTACATGAGAAAAAATGTTACACTACAACAGTTATGACTCACACATAGACATTAATATATCAGGTGATGACTGTCATCACCCGATGACGATTGTTGGTACTAACAATTGAAACATCTCTTGACTTGAAATCTCTTGATTTTTATTTTATTGTAATTTCATTTAAAGATTTTTTGCTTAACATAATTGTTATTTTCACCTATTCATTTTAAATTCCAATTTTATTTGTTCTTTCAAAGATTTCAAATCATATCATATTAGACAGTGGAAGCCCGAACTACTGAAATTCACCATGAAACATTGTCAACCACCTTCATAACAAAAATAGTTTTTGTTGAAACCCTAGAGAGACATTTTGAAATGAAATTTCGAGTAATTCATCTCTCCCAACTTCCTACACAGTAGGTTCTGGTAAATGCCTGCCGAAAAACAATTATTTACCTGGCTAATACCACGCTGGATATTGAATCTATATATTGAATTGTGCACAGATGTTTCTCGTTCATCCAGCAGCAGGATCATGCTGACATTATGCAAGTATACCGCGGTTTCGAGGTATTACCTCTCGTCAGTACAGCGAAGATCTTACCCAGCCAGCAAAGTGCCTGGGACTCGATTAATTTCAAGACGGTTCTGGTACATATATGAAACCTTTGTCTGAGAGAAAGATTGTTAACTAGTAACAGCACCATCGAGTGAACAAAGCCTCAAGTGGGAAAGACACACCTCATGTACCAAAACTCTAACAGAAATCAAAACTGACGACTGAATCGAGGAGAGATGCATACATCTGTGAGAGTAACCTCTGTGAATCTTGCATAAATGTTTGTCAGATATAATTCAACATCCAGTGTGGTATTAGTCGGGAAAGTAGTTGTTTTTCGGCAGGCATTTACCAGAACCTACTGTGTGGAAAGTTGGGAAATATGAATGTTTCGAAATATTATTTCGTAATAATAAATTTTGAATATATGTATTTCTCCTTGATTCAGTCGCCAGTTTTGATAACTATGATCTCTTGAAATACAAACCTGATTAAGTGAAGGCTATGGCATCTCCCTTACGTGGATGGGAATATAATCGCCTTCACTTTTTTTTTGTATTTTTCGAATCACAATATTTGATGAATTTTGTCCACACAACTCCAGCTTTATGTTAAGTGTGTTTAACAAAAACTTCCACATTCACTTTAATTTTTTTTATTGTATTTTTCGAATCACAATAATTGATGAATTTTGTCCACACAACTGCTTTATGTTAAGTGTGTTTAACAAAAACTTCCACATTCATTAACATATTTTATTTTGTTGATGTGATTACATTATTGTTGAGTTATAAAAACATATTGTATGATAATATTATGGTTACCTCCCATTACGAAGACACCAACTATGGAATTAATAGAAGACTCATCAAACCAAAATTATTAGTGATAAACACGGCTCCCAAAGGTGGTCTGTTGCAAAGCCAAATTCTCTTTTCAACTAGTTGCCTTGCAGCTGAAACTACAAACTAATATTGTTTGTTGGACAATGTAGAAGCATGACTATGCAACAGATTGATTTTGGTAGCTTCGTTTATCTTTGATATTTGTAGCGAGTCTTCAGTCAATCCCACTTGTACAAAAACATAGAAAAACAAATGTTTCGTTTTTGGGCTCTGGGTTGAATTTACTGAGATTAATAACTCCAATGTTTCAAATGCAAACTGATGAATTTTCACTAATTTTGGAGCAATTGGCAGGGTTCAAACTTGAATCAAAATTATTAATTTCTCCAACCCCTTATTGTGGTTTATATATCTTGATAGGGTTTCTATATTTCACCCTTGTTGCACTTCATTTCTTACATTGAAATGAATACATAAATAATTAATGACTTCTATTTTTTTTCAGAGGGACGACTTTCTGCTGTGAGTGAAGGAACTATTCAACTTGATTGAGGGCAGGTTCATGAGAAAAAGAATATATCTGTGATGCTGAAAACACAATTACATTTTTTGGTGAAACATAGAAGTTATGCCTGTTGATTAACATGTCACAATCGATGTTATGTTTTATGCTTGAAATTATTAAAGTTCTTTCATTAATAACTATATTCTTGTTATAATAAGAGAAAAATTAATGGTTCAAAAAAGAAGTGCTTCAGAAGGGTACATTAAATACAATTAAACATCATTTTTTAACATGAAGTAATTGCTGAAATGTTTATAAAACTGTTTTATAGTGTTTGTGAAAGGCCTTACAAAATATTAATAAAGACTATAATGTTTTATGAAACGGTGCCAACTTCCTATTTATAGCTGTTTTATAAACACATTGAAAATATTTCTGGGATAAACACAGTTTTATAATTTGTTTCTCCAAAACGTTTTCACAACCATTAAAAAATATGAAATTGCTAGTTGGGATCATTGTCTTCAGAAAAGAGTTCACCACGCATTCTCATTGACAAAATAATGGATTCGTAAACGCTGGTTATTCTCAAATAGTTATGAAAATGTTTGCATTTTAATAAGAAAATTATAAATCACAGTTCTGTTTTAGAAAAAAAAATGTTTTTCATGAATTACTACTGTTTGTGCGACTTTGATAATTGCGTAAATGAATATGAAAATTTCAATTGCAATATGGACTGTATGAAAACTTTGTAAGAGAAAGGAAGGAAAAAGGAACAGAATATCTGCGAACACATTTTCACCACTTTGTCAACCAAAAACCGAATGTACACGACTTGGAAATATACAAAAAACTAACGCCATAATGTGCCCTTGTGATTGATTTCTTACTTTCTCTTATATGGTACGTTTTTGGGGAACAGGGTTGAGCCTGGTTTACCTACACACTGGGTATTCAACTACTAAAAACTTACAGCTCGTGCACAGTTATATTATGAGTACATATATGTAAGATAATAACTGCCCATGCACGAATATTTCCATTATTCTGATGCCAATTACATTATAAAAAAAATCTCGAAAAAACTATTCCTTTTTTCAAGAGTGGCCCCACATCTTAGTATTAACCCAAAAATCACAATTTATAACTGCGTATAATTCAGCCGCATTTTGACATTTGTGCTACATTATTGTATCTTCTGAATGAAAATAAGTTAGGTCAACTACAAAAACTGTATGCGTATAATTCTGAAATGCAATTGACTTACCCCTGTAAAGACTGTGCCCGTTTCTCTTCAGTGTTTATCAATCTCGAACAGATCTTATTATCCAAGCATGGTTTGTATATTCAAAATAATAAAGGGTATTCAACATGTGTGTGTCTGTTGGTGTGTGTGTACACACACCTTGTACTGATTTTAATATTTTATATGTATTATTTTGTACTATTTTTAAGCTTTGTAACCATGATTTATCATGTATACAATAAAGCATATTCTCTCTCTCTCTCATACGATTCGTAGTGTTTACATTTCTCTGGGGCAATAACTTCTATTGGTCCAGGAAGCCAACCGTATCTTCCCAACTTTACTACTTTATTATTTTTAATTTGATTTCTGTATCATTTTAAAATAATTAGAAATGTGACACAGAATTTTGAATTCTTCATTCCATTTACGTGTTTACTAATATGCAAATATAAAAAGTTTCTAGATTTTTTTACCCATGAATTATATAAAATATTTCACCTGATATTATTTTCGCTAAATTTGTATTCACATGAATATTAGAATCATGATTTCAGTGTTGATAATCATGAAATTTTTCATTGATATTTTTATTACCAGGTTTGATAACTCAAGTAAAGCGGGACTTGAAAACGACACAAATAGTTTTAGTTAGTTCTGTAATTGAACACACCTCAAGAAGAAGCTATTGTATAGTGAAATACATGTTGAGGTTTTGTGAACTATATGTGATCTTACAATAAGTATTACTGAAATACATCGAAGAAAATACTGTCTAAGAAGACAGGTGGAGAAAGAATTGTCTAATTATTAACAAATTTAGTACTTGGAAGTTAGTTTTCTGGAGACAACACCATACACGAACATTATATTCGAATTTTTCTGAATATTATGATGAATGGAAAATGACTTGGAAACCATGTAGGAGTAGTAGTCTTTATTATAGGATATATCCTAATCTTACAAGATAAAAAAAAAATTTAATACCTTCAAAACAACATTATTCAATTACCTTAATGAAAATACTTTTTATACAATAGAGGAGTACCTCACTGTTTGATGCACTATCTGTGAGTTTTTCATATTTTCTTGTGAGCTCTATAATGTTCTTATAAGTTGTAATACTTATAATATGTTTTTAGTCTGATAAGTTTTGTACCATTGTGTAAAAAACTTCAATGATGAATAAATTATCTGTATCTGTATAATAAGTAATAACAATTCAAATTTCCACAGCCTGCCAACAATATTAATAACATTCAAATCTGTATATAGATAATAACAATAATAATGATAAACTAGATACAATTTATCAGAACCAATGTTAAAAATAAATATTAATATAGTAACACACACATACATATATACATATTTTCCAACCAACTAACACTCTAGATATTCCAATAGTTTATTTTTAAACCCTCATACAGTATTTGCCTCTTCAATGGCATTTGGTAAATTGTTAAATTCCCGTAGTCCCTTGTAGAATAAGTTTTTCATACTGCCAGTGTGAGTTCTATATATATGAAAATTAGCATAAAATCTTGTCTCGTGTTCATGTATTTCATTATTGAAAACAAATTACAATTACAAGTATGGGTCTGATTTACCAAATAGAAAGTTTGGTTTTCAAGGACCATAAAATAAACTAGAGGTCTGAAAAAAATTATACTAAATTTATCTAAAATATATATTTGAAACAAAATAATGTATATGGACGAATAAGATCATTTAATGAAAGAACTACTCTTTTTAAAATAAAGCAGATGTTCAAACTTGATAATTATATGAAGTGAAGCATGCATTTCAATATTAAATAACTCAATTTGTTGGGGCTATGTGTTAGAATATAAAATCACTTTATAAACTAGGTACAGAATGATGTTTACAAAACAGACAAAAATCGGTATGAGATGGCTAATATTGGTTAATATTATTTGGATGTATTGTAAGAATTGTATCAAAGTAGCTTATAAGCCTAATAAAAATTTAATGGGAATAATGCAGGTTTGGTTAAGAAAATTGAAAAATAACTGAAATGCCCAGTAAAAGTTGTAATTCCGGATTATTAAACATCTTAGATGAAATATATGCAGAGAAAAATGAGCAATCTTTGGCTTCATTATTTGAAAATGTTTTAAAAAAATCACGTCTATCAAGAATATATATTTTTAGAAATTAAATTATGACTCAACAAGCTTTATGATCCAACTCACCTTATTTTACTTATACTTCATCAAATAATCACAGTATCACGAAGCGGCAATCTCTAACATCTTTTCAATTTCAATAATTTTTTCTCTTGGTTTCCCAACTTTAGCTCCTGCTCTTACCTCATACTTGTCTATTTTGTTCCAATCTTTCCACATTACTCTTTGAATATTTTTTTCGGACAATATTTTTTCAATTGCATCATAACCTGCTTTACTGACTTCAACTAAATTTTCAGATTGCATATCTTCTAAAATTTTATCTGCAACACTGAAGGCATTATTCATTGTAGTAAGTATCACTCCCTGAGGTCCAGTTCCTAGCCAACCTGAGACATAGAAGCCTTGGTCAACTTTAAAATTTGTATGTCTTGCTACACCTTTATCAAAATCAAAAGGTATCTCATCATCAGCTTGAATGGATTTATAGCCGATGCTAGATATAGCAAGGTCACTTCTTAGAGTTTCCTGCAGATCTGTCAAAACTGCTTTCTGATTTAGAAAATTATCACCTTCTAGCTTATTGACCCCCAATAACACTCCTTCTACTTTATTACCTCCCAAAATCTGCAAAGGTGACCTGTGAAATAATGGCCTAAACTCTTTAACTGTTTCAGTTGGGGTATTTTGCCCTAAAGATGTCAACATAAGCTCAGTTATACGTTTTCTAGGTCTCTCCAACTTTGGAATGTATTCAGCAATACCACAAAAATCTTGTTGTTGCCATATTGTGGAACAATTTCTCAATTTCAGCATTTCCCTGAGTTCTTTAATGGTGAATGCAGCTTGAAGAGGGCCCCTTCGACCTATCACATAAACAGTTTTGATTCTTGAAGAAGATATGGCTTCTAAAGCATGCGCGGTGATGTCAGTTTTCTAAAATAAAAAATGTATGTAGTAACGGCTACATCTATCAATTTATTAAAATGTATGCATGTATGTATCCCATCAAATATCTTGTATTCTAATAGAGAATACACATCTACCACAATTGTTGTGGTCCCCAGATATCTCAAGCAGTGAGAGAAATTTGTCTGAATAAACTCTTTTCTCCCAAAATATTCAAATTTAAAAATAGCCTACAATTTGAATTTGATTCGATATTGAATTTGAATAACTTCCCCCAAATGCTAGTACCAATCATGGATTGCTAGTGAAAATTCATCATTATTAATTTTCAATATTAATATAATCGAGTTCAATAATGATGAATTATTTATAATAATTGAAAAAGTTACTTCACATTTCTATCTTCTGATCTGATCAATAATAATGAAAACACTCCTTAGACAGCATCAGATACCTGAATTTTGAAAACTGAAAATCCCTCTCTGAAAATCTAGAACTAAGAAAAGTAAAGATTGTAGTTTTATTGAGGATGGTGTATTTGTTACCTGTTAAAACTGAGTCATATGTCTGGAACAGATGCGATTTTTTTTCCTTTATTTTATCATTTGAATGCACAAAGGTTACATAAATGATTAAAAACCTCAATATTTCAGTTACATCATTACATTGAGCAAGGACATGTCAACAATACAAATTTACATATACATGCAATCAATACAATGAAAATTTCTTTGATACAGAGATGTGCGATGAAAATCAGGCTGCAAGAGATTTCTATGACAGGTGTTATAGCAATGATTGTGATTATTTTCCGTGAAACTATTGAATCAATATAAATCAAATAAGTGATAGTGACAATAGTGAGATGCAGAAAAGAAGACTGAGGAAATTACTTTGAAATACGCCCTTTCTGATAGTGTTTGGAATCTAGCCTGATGAGATGAAAGCAAAATGACTCCAAAGATCTTCAAGGTATTCTAGCAACAATGAATATACTGCTAACCTTTGTATATACATCACTGGCTGACGATATACCGCAGTAGTCCGATCATTTGTTTTCATTTGATACAGAGATGTGCGATGAAAATCAGGCTGCAAGAGATTTCTATGACGGGTGTTATAGCAATGATTGTGATTATTTTCCGTGAAACTATTGAATCAATATAAATCAAATAAGTGATAGTGACAATAGTGGGATGCAGAAAAGAAGACTGAGGAAATTACTTTGAAATACGCCCTTTCTGATAGTGTTTGGACTCTAGCCTGATGAGATGAAAGCAAAATGACTCGCAAAGATCTTCAAGGTATTCTAGCAACAATAAATATACTGCTAACCTTTGTATATACATCACTGGCTGACGATATACCGCAGTAGTCCGATCATTTGTTTTCAGAAATATCTATATATTGTTTTCGTTGGTTTCCGGGTTTTGCCGTGATCTTCCTTGGTTACAATCTCCTAGCGTTTCAACTCCAACTGCAACAGTCATATTCAGGGGCATGGTCGAAGTACTCTTCATGACGTATCAACTGAAGCTGAAGCTCTCATTTCTGCCATGTCATTTATAGTGGAGATTTTTCCCGCACTTTCGGGTTCGCGCGATTTGGGTGACATGGCTTCGTTCTTGCGCCTTTCAATGCTGTGTGCCAGCTCTTTAGTAGATATGTTCTTTTTTCCTTTCTGTTGAAGTTCTCTTGGTGTTTGTGTATTTCTATGACTTCTAAACACATTCTTGTTGCATAATGATTCGACGTTGCTAGGCCTCTCGGTATTTTAGAAAGTAATCTTGTGTTCCCGCCAGAAAGTACATGTTCAGTGACTTCAGACTTCTCGGTCTGTCCCAGTCGGCAACTCCGCTTGTGCTCGACTAGGCGGGTACCAAAGCTTTTTTTTCGTCTGACCGATATAAACTTTATCACAGTTACATGGAATCCTGCAAACTCCCGCTGCTGTCTTTTGCTGATTTCAGATACTACGATATTTTCTTCGTTGGTTTGAAGACGGTGTCAATTTTCTTATTCTTTAGAATTTTTCCAGATAGATAGTGCCTTGGGGTTGATTTTCACTGGTGTTTTTATTCTTCTCCCTTAGACGCGTAGCGCGGGATTATATCTTTTCTGTCGTAGCCGTTGTTAGGTGTTTTATTCCTTTGTCGACGTACTTTTTTCACATATTTTCAAAGCTCTGTTCACTAGGGTGTTGATGACGGTTCGTTCTGTTTTGGATGATGATTAGATTCATTATGTAGGTATTGATCTGTGTGTTTTCTTCCTGTACATTTATGACTTAGTTGATTAGGGGAGAGTGGGGGAAATTGCGAACACCTAAGGAAGAACTGAAATTAAACAAAACCAGTTAAGGTTATGAATGCTATTTATTACTAAAAGTAAACTTATAACTAATCAATCTTATGTTCTCATAATCATTTGTAACATTTTTCCAGTCTTCATTAGGTGGATCTTCATACTTTTCATCACAAATTAAGCAATAATACTCGTTTTTCTTTCCATCACCTTCATTTACAACTATTGGATTAGCAAAAGATATGAAGTGGTGTAACCAATCTTCAAATAAGTTTTCGTTGATCCAATCTGAATCACTTACAGCTGTTATCATATCAAGATTGCCTCCACGTAACAACTGAGCATTAATATGCTTCCTCTTAAAAATAAAAAATGGAAGAATATACTTTCCTGAAGCACTACAAGCGCAGACAACTGTCATTGTAGTACCTCTTTCACCAATTGTTGCCACACCGACTTGTTTCTGGCCTTCTGGTACTAAAATTCTTGAATTTCTTTGGACATTGGATATACGTGTCTCGTCCACATTGTATATTCAAACAGGCATCAAAGTGGTGTTTGGTTTGTAAAATTTCCAAATTATTGAAGAACATTTTCACTTCTATTCAACGAAAGTCATTTTTTTAGAATTTTTTTGTCCATTTCTGAAGACGGAGGCAGAGTTTGGCCTCCGAAACGTCAAGATAAGTATCAAAATATTTCTTAACAATTTTTTTGATAGGCAAAATCGTTAAATACGACAAGTTACTGACAAATAGAACATTTTTCTTTGTGAAAAATACTTTGATTTTTACGCAGTAACTTACCGGGGTAAATTAAAAAGTTTGCCTTTCTACACTTTTATGAAGTTTTCCATTATAATTTTTATATTTTTCAGATTGTGGAAGGTAAAAAAAAGTCTATGAAAAAATTTTCACTTCTGTTTCATTAAAAGCCGTAATTCCATTGATAGAAGTGGACTCAAGTTTACGTAGTGAAATATTAGGGTGCTTTTTCTTAAATTCATAAAACCAGTCTTCTCCTGCCATTTGAGATGTTTTGTCAAAATTGTGCTTCAAATTATTCACTTCAGCAAATTTGAATGCTATTTTTCATACCATTTCTATAGTCAAACCATAAAATAATTTACTGCATTTCATGATATAGTCCTCTAACTCTCACTCTTGTTCTTCAGAAAATATAGCCTTTCTGCCAGTTTTTGGCTCTTTTATAACTTCTTTCTTGAGATAGTCGTGTATACTACTTTTCGGAACAGAATAAATAGCAATTGCTTTTCCAAATGAAAGTGTTTTACTTTTAACATCCTGAATAACCTTTTCTGTCTTCTAATTTGTATTTGGTCTCAGTTTTTCTTTGGTAATTTCCTGGCATCTGAAATATAGTCAGTTAAATATAAGTATATTTTAAAATACATCATTTACAATTTCATATAGATACAGAGCAGAAAACAAGGATATATAATAAAAAAAAGGATATTAAATGAACTATATGAACTATATGGTGTGTAGGGGTAATTGCGGTAATAGCAGACACACACAATACCACAAACCATATTTTTATTTGAATTTAGAATGGCGTGGTGCACGCGGTTACTCCCTAAAAACATTGTTAAATGATACATTAATAAGAAAAAATGTGATATTTCTATGTAATACCTAAAATATTATACATCTATTCGATTTTAGTAAAAAATATATATATGAAATTGTTGATGAATCTTTAAATAAACATACCTTGTAAAACGAGCGCGTCGTCACTTCACCACTTATTGTGCGGCACTACGTCTGGGATGGACTCACGATTGCATCACTCGGAATATCTTTCATTCTTTTCTAACATAGTAAAACATACACGTCCGCGATTACCCCGCGTCCGTGTTTCCCCCACCTTCCCTACCTTCCTTCATGATTAAAACATCAAGGAACGGGATTCGGAGGTTTTCTTATAATTCCGTGGTGAACTGGATTTTTGGATGAAAGCTATTCAGATGATTTAGAAAGTTCTGAAGTTCCTTTTTTCCATGGCTCCAAACAACAAACGTGTCATCTACATACCTCAACCAGAGCTTCGGTCGTTTTTCTGAAGTTTGAATGGCCTCTTTTTCCAAATTTTTTTCATGTAGAAATTCGCCACTACTGGGCTAAGTGAACTGCCCTTGGCAACACCATCAATTTGTTCATAACGGTTTTATTCCATTGAAAATAAGTTGTCGTTAGTGAATGTCGAAATAAGTTGATATCTTGTGCTATATAGCTGAGAGATTCCTCGAGTGATACATTTGTGTATAAGGATACAATATCGAGCTAACAAGAATGTCGTTTGGTTCCAAGGTAATGCCTTACAAATGTTCGGTGATGTCAGTGGAGTCTTGGATGTACGTCTTAGTCTTTCCAACATATTTCTGCAGCATATCCAACAAATGCTTGTCGAGGTTGTATGTTGGTGATCATATGTCACTTGATATCGGTTTCAGTGGTGAATCCTCTTTGTGAATTTTCAGTAATTCATAGAGCCTCGTTGGTAATGCTTCGGATCTGCAAAGTTTCTTCTTAGTCTCTGGCGATAATGAAGATTTTTTTATCAGTTGAATGGTCTTTCTTAAAATTTTCTCTGTTGGGTCTTTTTGTAATCTTCTGTACGTTTCTTGACTGACAAGGTTAATGAGATTGCTTTTGTAGTTTGAGGTGTGACCACTTTAATAATGATATTTTCGTCAGCATTGAGACTTCTTATGGCGGCCTTTTCACCCCTTGAAAGTGTCACCAACCGAATCTGAAAAATTCCAAAGAAGGAAATCTCAATAAAACAGTCCTACTGTTATAATTTTGATGTTTTGAAAAATATATAATTCCATCCCTTGAGTCATTCTTCTATTTAGTCAGAGGTGTCTCTGTCTATTTTATACTACCAAGTTTTAGATCTATAGAATGTAATAAACGTACATGTGGCATTCAATAGCAGTATATTGAAAAGTACCTACCTTCAGTTCATCCACAGGGCTGAGTAATATTCTAGCAACATCTATGGCAACGTTACCTTGTCCAAAAATTGTAGCAACTTCTCCACTGAGATCTATTTCCAAATTTGCGTCCCATGGTATACCATTATACCAACCAACTATTTTCCTAGCTTCTATATGATTTTGAAGGTTTTCACCAGGTATACTCAATCTTTTTCCCTGTTCAGCACCATAAGTCTAAAAAAAAAATAGTGTGCCAAAGTTTGAACTTTAGGCAAATTATGTTAATTCGCTCACAAGCAGAATAATGTGATATGCATTTCTCAATTCTTCCAAAGTTATGTCTCTTCCTAAATTGACATTACCAATAAACCTAATGTTTGGATTTTCTGCAGTTTTTGTGAAAGTATTGATGACATTTTTAACCTCTGGGTGGTCTGGAGCAACACCAAATCTTAAACATATCATGAAAATACATTAATGATGATAAGGTTTGGGATGATACCTTACTAATCCGAAAGGTACTGGTAATCTTTCATAAATGTCTATTTCTGAAGAATCCAACTTCCTCACAAGACGCTGTGCTGAATAAAATCCTGCAGGGCCAGCTCCCACTATACATATTTTTGGTTTAACGTGGGGTTTTATTGATAGAAATCTTTTTATGAAACACAATCTACTGCCAATCTTCATATTTCTGATTATAAAGTTTATAAATAAAGACAATATTCAAAGCTCAAAATATGATTAGACAAGTGATTTCAGTTGTAATATACTGCTAGTATATTAAAACTGAAATCATTATCATTAGTCTTTATGGGTGTTTTAATAATCTAGGACACAATACCTCTGACAACAGTTGGTTGTGTTGGAACTTATTTTCATTTAGATAAACGATTTAAAACCGATTCATGTTGAGTTAGGGACACAAGAATCTTGTTATAACATTCATAATTATTTGGAATATGGATAAATATAAATACACTTTCCACACATCTTAGCTTAAAACCTAAATTCTAATTTTTGTGGTGAGGTTAAGGTCACAGTATACTATATACAGTAATCCCACTTCGGGTGATTTTTGGTTTGAATTTTCTACACCCAGACCCAGGAGTTGCAGTCTCAGGTCTGCGCAAACGACGAGTTCAAGACAGGCACGCAACCAAATCGTTTAAACACTGCTCAACATAACAAATATTCATATAAACTGCTCAAAAAAATACAGTCGATGAAAACCATGTTGGTCACCTAAGAAAATTGTACAAATGATAATTTTGCATTTGTGTAATATTCAAGTAACCCAGATCATTTCGACAANTGCCAATCTTCATATTTCTGATTATAAAGTTTATAAATAAAGACAATATTCAAAGCTCAAAATATGATTATACAAGTGATTTCAGTTGTAATATACTGCTAGTATATTAAAACTAAAATCATTATCATTAGTCTTTATGGGTGTTTTAATAATCTAGGACACAATACCTCTGACAACAGTTGGTTGTGTTGGAACTTATTTTCATTTAGATAAACGATTTAAAACCGATTCATGTTGAGTTAGGGACACAAGAATCTTGTTATAATATTCATAATTATTTGGAATATGGATAAATATAAATACACTTTCCACACATCTTAGCTTAAAACCTAAATTCTAATTTTTGTGGTGAGGTTAAGGTTAAATTGTATTGTCATCATAATATAAACTGGCCATTGAAGGAAGAACATTGACTCCAACAAGTAAAAAAAAGATGAAGAGATTCACGTTCTGGCATTACGTCACTCATACACTCAACGTCATCGTCAGTTACTACGTCACGATGTTGTACGTGTTGCATATTTCCAATATGAAAAATTTGATTTGTCACATGGTTCTGTGACGCAGTGGTCAAGACGTTGTGTGATCCGCAGGTGAAAGGTGAAATGTAGGTATAAGTGACGTCATGTCAGTTCATATTATCATCTCTATGGTGTAGCGTCATAATAAGATTGATTATGAACAATATGGGGAAATTTGACAAACATCTGGCTTCACGTGATTTTGAAGAACTTGATTATTTCCAGAGTTCGTATACAAATCTGAACACTCGATTAGCTTGCTCGGCAAGCGTTGGATGATGCAGATACATTGTCTCAGTTACCTATATCTGCTCTCTGTGTGTGTTCATTAAAATAGTTTGAAAAAAATATGATCGGTTAGTTCCGAGCTCAATGTTATAATCAGATAGATTTTTTTTGCCAGTTGTTAAAAAAAATGACTCTTGTTTGTATAAGCATATCCCAACCAGCAAAATTGTTTTATACTTTTATGATGCTGCAACCGTTTTATTTTGTTGATGTTCTATAATTACTTCCAGAATGATTATTTTGTAACTGCATTCTGTAGCTTTAATGAAATTATTTTACTGGAATGCTTTCAAACACAATTTTGTTTTCATTACCACATTGTCACTTTAATGATAATTTCCCAACTATTTCATAGTATGGTATATTAGGTACAACAATTTCTATATGTGTACCTAATAACGACGTGTAATATTGGTCATTGGAAAAAATTAAGGAAAGCGGTTCTTTTTGGACGAAGTCCCACATAACGTAGTGCTTCAATTTTGTTCTTGGTAAAAACAGGAAAAGGTTATTGAGAATTGAAATCCGTTGATTTGAGTGNATTTGATCGAATTTGGCGTGCTCTTTTTAGATTCATTGGGACGATTGGACTTTGGATTCCATATATACCCATTATTTGTCACCAGTTATGACCCTTTCAAGCAAATCTGGATCGCCGTTGACGTCATTCAACAATTCATGAGCGATGCTCATACGATATATTTTTTGGTCAAAATTCAGCAATTTTGGAACGAACTTTGTTGCCACACACTTCATGCCCAAAATTTCACAAAAAATTGCATGGCATGAGCCAACCGATATGTCCTCAGCAATCTCTCTAATAGTGATTCGACGATTCTCTATATCCTTTTTTTCACTTTCTCAAGATTTCCATGGGTTGTTGATGTATTGTCGCGTCCAGGGCGCGTGTCGTCATTCATATCTTCTGGACCTTCTGCGAAAATCTTGAGCTTTTTGTAAACATTTTTCTGACTCAGAATATAATCACCGAATGCCACGGTCAACATTTCAAGTGTTTTTGAGCCCTTAATTCCATTTTTACGCAAAATTTGCAGTAATTATGGGTCCATTTTCAATGTAGATGTGAAGGATAACGTTATCAGTTTTTCGAAAACACCCTCTACCATAATAAAAATTCCACCTGAGGCATATGAAATATGAAATCAATCAAGTGATTCAACAATTCATCAGATCCAAAAAGGTTGAGAAAAACATCGACAGAGTATTTCCCCTACATGCGAACAACGGCACTCTGAAATGTGAAATGCGGTCGAAACATTACATCGATCTCAGAAATGGAAACAATTGCTGTTTGGGGTTCGATGCCAATATCTTTGGCATAGGTGAAACTCACGAATTGATATTGCCCGTGAATATCAATAAGGTGAGAATTATTCGTCTGGATTGTAATGTCACCGCCGAAGCATATTCCAACGATGATGAAATCCACAGCATCTTTGAATTTGGTATCGATGTAGAGCCTGGATACAAACTCACCAAAGAACAACCAAAAATTTTTTTTAGGACAAAACACAAGCACTATAGGAAAATCCTCAAGGCGCTCTCAGGGCGTTTTAAGGAGATGGGGATTAAATCCATTTGGAAAAACGTTCTCAGGAAGTTTATTCCACATGAACACAGTTCTCCAAATGAAAGAGTTCTTAAACCTCGAAACGATGAGCAGCCACAGTCATTTGCGTATTTCTGACTTGAATACTTCCCGTGAAAGTATCTATAGAAGAAAGACGAATCTCCAACCTTTCTTCGATGCTTTAGACTCTCAAGGTTGCGAGTGATGTTCGCGTCTCCAATCAGGTGGCTGGCTGTTTTCTGGATGGAATGCAGCAACTTCATGTTTGGAGTCGTAGTTCCATACGTGAGAACAATACTCCAAAGAAGGTCTGATCTGAGCTTTATGAATCATCAAAAGTTGCTGAGGTGTGTACAGTTTTCTAGATCGGAACAGTGTTCCAGTATTTTGAGAAGCAGCCTTTGCAATTCCAGCGATACGATTGTTCCAAAACATATTGATATCCATTTCAACCCCCAACAAACTTATCGAAGCAGAAGGTGGAATTGTCTGACATGACATTATTATATCCGGTTCGGAGAAATTTACCTTTTTTGGAGAAAACCTATGCCTGGTTTTTTGTGGCATTGAATTGAATCTGGTCACTTTCACCCCAATTCGAAATTACTTCTAGATTAACGAAAAAAAATATTTTTTTAAACAGACAGATCCTCATTAAAATATGCAACCTTCTGCTGCCGGTGAAGATGTGCATCCGAAGCCGATGTCCTGGAATCCAAATATAATGACGAGACAAGTGTGCTGTCGTCAGCAAAGCAATATATTGGATTCTTGTTTTTTTCCAATAAGTCGTTGATATACAAATTTTATTGAATAGGTGCGCGAGTGGAATCGAAATTTTACTTTTTATTTCTCACAGTGTTCCTGAACTGATTGAATTGTATCCTGGAACTTTGTTAGGTTTAATCGATTCAATTACTTTTATCACTTTTTTTCAGAAGTAGGATCCAAAAAAATTAATGACATATTTTTTGCCGATTTCAATTTTTTTTTGTTTTTTAATTTTTCTACAGCAAAATCGATTTCGACGTTTCAATAGTAGTGTTTGAAAGAGTCCGTTTAATTTATTTTGAACGAGGTCCCTTCAAAATAGTTCACCTTAGATATAATACACTTGTGCCAGCATTGTTTGCAACCCTCGAAGCAGTTTTAACATGTAGGAATGCCGCAGATGACTGCCGCAGTTGCATTTGAAACGTTTGGAGATTATAACCAAAGAAGACCACGGCAAAACCCGGAAACCAACCAAAAGAGTTTTGATATGCACTTTTTGGTATGCCCTTGAGCGCAGTTAGCGATTCGTTTTTCACTCCTCAAAATACCGTCTTTTTATGGTCTTCTTCAATCGCGGGAACAGGAAAAAGTCGCAGGGGGGCAAATCTGGTGAATACGGTAGTTGAGGAATGAATACGGTTTTGTATTTGGCCAAAACATTTTGAACGAGCAATTACGGTTTAGCAGGTGCATAATCGTGATGCAGAAGCCATGAATTGTCGTTCGTATGGGGGCGACAGCTGATTAACGGAAAGAAGAAAACAGAACTTCAAGACAATAGTACTTATTGACCGTACGACCATGTGGCAAGAACTCCTGATGTACTACGCCATGGTAATTAAATAAAACAGTGAGTAAAACTTCGACATTTGATCGAATTTGGCGTGCTCTTTTTAGATTCATTGGGACGATTGGACTTTGGATTCCATATATACCCATTATTTGTCACCAGTTATGACCCTTTCAAGCAAATCTGGATCGCCGTTGACGTCATTCAACAATTCATGAGCGATGCTCATACGATATATTTTTTGGTCAAAATTCAGCAATTTTGGAACGAACTTTGTTGCCACACACTTCATGCCCAAAATTTCACAAAAAATTGCATGGCATGAGCCAACCGATATGTCCTCAGCAATCTCTCTAATAGTGATTCGACGATTCTCTATATTCTTTTTTTCACTTTCTCAAGATTTCCATGGGTTGTTGATGTATTGCCGCGTCCAGGGCGCGTGTCATCATTCATATCTTCTCGACCTTCTGCGAAAATCTTGTGCTCTTTGTAAACATTTTTCTGACTCGGGATATAATCACCGTATGCCACGGTCAACATTTCAAGTGTTTTTGAGCCCTTGATTCCATTTTTAGGCAAAATTTGCAGTAATTATGGTCTGGGTTAATATGGTTTCTACTCCTACAACTCCATTTTCAATGTAGATGTGAAGGATAACGTTATCAGTTTTTCGAAAACAGTTAACTCACCCCTCTACCATAATAAAAATTCCACCTGAGGTATATGAAATCAATCGAGTGATTCAACAATTCAACCAAAAAGGTTGAGAAAAACATCGACAGAGTATTTTCCTTACATGCGAACAACAGCACTCTGAAATGTGAAATGCGGTCGAAATATTACATCGAACGCAAACATGGAAACAATTGCTGTTTGGGGTTCGATGCCAATATCTTTGGCATAGGTGAAACTCAGGAATTGATATTGTCCATGAATATCAATAAGGTGAGAATTCTTCGTGTGGATTGTAATGTCACCGCCGAAGCATATTCCAACGATGATGAAATCCACAGCATCTTTGAATTTGGTATCGATGTAGAGCCTGGATACAAACTCACCAAAGAACAACAAAATATTTTTTTAAGGACAAAACACAAGCATTACAGGAAAATCCTCTTACTTTCTCTNGTTATGAAGAAGTCCTGTAATATGGCTATCATCACAATAAGTGATGAAGTGGAGATTTTCAAGGAGCCCATGTTCGACCATTCCCTCATTAGCCTTCATGAACATATATATAAGCTGTGTGGTTCACCATATTAACAGAATTCAGATGAGATCACAACCCTAATCAATTTTCAAGATCTAATACTCGACATTGCAAACAGTTACATAGGAATCGAGTGAAAGTTCACACCATCTGATGCCACCAAGTTCGAAAACCCGGCATATTACCCACTACAATGAAAACTATATTATAACTCGGACAAACGCACGCTAATTCATCACTATCGATAGGATGCGGTCTTGATGTGAAAAAAGAAGATTTATCAGATCCCATCATCCATGTTTTCAGCGGTGAATTATCTTTACGGTTTCAATTACGATTTCAATTTGTATTGCTCTATGAATTGATTTTTCATTGTACTGATGAGAGTCCTGATAATTTGATAATTGCTGACAGACGAAATTAATTTAATTGACCCACGAAGTTGGCATATTGATATTACACCTCTTATTATATTCAATTCTTGTGACGAAAGTATCTAGACAGATATACGAAGGAATAAACTGATATATGTATAATTATTTTATTAACAGTTCGAAAATGAATTTGAATCAGACCCAAAAAACATTGTATACAAATCCAATTTTCAGTAGAAAGCTGCACCAAAAAGGAAGTTTCCAGTCTTGCTTATATATTTTCTCAATTGTATTCATGCAAGAGTTTCCACATTGACCAAAAATTCCATAATATCTATTAAATATATCCAGCTATAGGACCAATTTGTGTATCTGGCTTTCTTTTACGAGTTACCGTACCTTTCCTAAATTCTGTATTCATCAGTTTCATTTTAGCCTCTTTTGCAAGTTGTCGGTCGATACTGAGTTGATCTTTGACAGACTTTGGTACATCCGGTATAGCATACGATAGAATTGCATTTCCAACCCAAACGATATGCTGGAATGAAATACAACACTTTGAATCTATTTGGTTTTCCTAAATTAAGTTATAATTTATTAAATACTCAAGAATTGATACTTGTTATTCGAACTGGAAAAATAAAAAACTCTAGTGTCGCTAAAGTGGTTCATTTTCATTCTCGTAACAACTTCTTTTCTAAAAAATATGTTTTACTTGTGTACAGACAGCGACGTGCCAATCTATCAAAACATGTCAAATTTCATCAACCAATTTTCAAATTTCCTGGCAAAAAAAAGTCCTTTTTAAATGAACATTTTTTGACAAGTTTGGGTAGATTGCTCTGTCAACATGTTCACTGTGACTTTACAACTCGATTGAGTCAACGATATCAAGTTTACGGTAACACATTTCAGAGAGATTTGGAGTATAGTCGATCGTGATGTAAGTACCAATTCCATTTTGACCGCGCAAGGTATTGAATGTACACTGGAGCTACAAAGGCTTAAGCCGCCCCTGTAAATACTAACCTCGAATATCAATATTGAAATAAGTCTCCATGTAACGTCCATCCAGTAGTCTGAAGTAAACTCATATTTGTCTGCTGTAGTAGGAGGTTGGCGCATTGCTCTGTAATAACAAATGTCCACCGGGGCAGATCCTTGTTCATTATATACATGAAAATCCTTCGTAGCATATTCTGCAAAGTATGGTGGTTATTACAGTGAGTGATGATAATGAAATATAATTTTTGCATGACCACTGAAAAAGCACCAATTATGTGACCGTTTTTTGTTGAGTCATTAAGTAATGATATAATGTTCACTGCTCATATTAATTACTTATGTTTTCTTGTTCAATATTTCATTATTTTTTTGAATTTGAATATTTAGATAATTTACTTAATTCCTTTTCATTAACATTTAATGTTTCTTCGGATAATAAAGACAATAAATAAATCAACTTTCAGTTTTCAATTGAGTAATTACTTTTCCACTCAAACTTCAAATCTGAATGCATCCTCAAACTGAATGGAAATTGAATGTAAGGGTAAGGGAGCTGGGCTCCATCCCGATTGAACTGAAGACATTGGTCAGTGAATATATTATTGATTCCTCTTCCGCCATCTTCGATTCAGCCTACCGGAGTGTACTGCATGTTCTGTTTCCATCAATAGGTATTTGTGAAAGTGCACTGGTCCTGATTGTGTCTTCTCTAGGGTCCAGATCATGACGAGTAAATCTTTTTTGCTAATATTTTACCCTTCTTTGCCAGTTCCTGCAAATAAACTCCAACTACAAGGTCTTCGTTTTTAGGCACTGTGAAGTGGCTCCCTACCAAGTGGCATCGATATTTTTTTGATACTCTAAACGATGGCAAGTATTTTCCACTATATGGTCAGATATCTGCATCCTACTCATTCTTCCAGTCACCACTCGACTCAAGTTCATCATTTTTTGTTCACCAATTTCTTTGCGACATCTTGTTTTTTTCTTGTATGTTTTCCTCACAGCTATCTTCTGTGGGTTGATAACTCAATTTTCTCTTCTAGTATATACAAAAAACCGGTTTCCAAACCAATTTTCACTTCAGTTTTTGTTATAAAGTCCAATCCTAATAGCAACGTAGTACAAAAATTTCCAGCTTCTATATGAAAAAGAAATTGTGTTCCATTTTCTTGTCCTGGCTTAAAGTAATTGGTTTTTTCACTTCTCCTCCATATCGTCCTTCTTTGTTGTTAGATATCGTTAGGTCAAGTATCCTGCCAGTTCTATAACTAAATGTCGTTCTGGTACAGAGCAATTACTTCTGGAGTTGAAATGCAACCATTTCGCTGTTTAAATTCTGTCGAATCGGTATGTTCCAATTTTGTTGATTCTGGCGTGCCATATACGTGTCTCGGTTATTACTGCTGGTATTTTCAGTGCAGTATTATGGGTAATTAGGCGTTGTTCATTTCTTCCAAGTTGATAAAGTTCATAAACACTTCGCTCTGGCGTTCTATTCCTTCGGCAGTCTCTTAGCTGATGTCACGGTTGACGACATCCATAGCATAGTTTCTTGTCCAAATACGTTTTCTAACAATAACATGATCTCTCAAAGTGCCCCCCTTTTTTTAAAGTTTCCAAGGAATCGTTGACACTGTAGTTTCCATCGTAACAAGATATTTTTTCGGTTCAGTAGCAGTAGCAGTTGGTTAATGAATGCATCACCAAATTGAAAGTGAATTGAATGCGAATCAATCGAATAACAATTAATAGAATACCTCTACTATTTTCAATCTGGCCTTTAAATAATTTTTGCGAGTGACATTGTTATTCAAAAAAACAAAGAGACCGATATCTGTGGAAGGGAGCATCGTAATTCAAAGCACCAGTAAGTCGCCGAATTCATCAATTATAATAATTTATTAGTTGAAGTCGGTGTCGTGTTTCTAACAAAACAAAAGACCACCAATCACAAACAATATTAGGTCATCCACTAGAGGCCGCTACCTGAATACCATGACAACCGATAGATGTCGCAACTATATTTTTTTCAAATTTTGATTTTTTGACTCTTTTTAGCTCATTACTACATCATGTCGTTGAACTATTTTTGACCAGTGTTTCTCAACGAATTCAAGTTGAACTAAAGCGCTGCCAAAACACTCCGCATAATTAACAAGGCATTTAGTAATGATAGTGTTAATGAATGTTCGATGTTGGCTTGCGACATTTCGTTCAGGAGATTTTAGCTTTGGAGATAAGCCCCAAAGTGGTCACGACCCTGGCGAGGACCCATCACAAACGGTGCGTGGGATGGCAAAAGAACTCCGAGTCGTCGGCTCGGAAAGGTCATAAATCTCGAAAAGTGGGTGTACCACGATTTGAAGATCGACCAAAACTATCCTTTTTTTGGATCGGATCGTCACGTGTGATGAAAAGTAAATAGATCATCTTCGACAACAATAGTGATTCAGGATAGTTGTTTGACACTGATGAGATACACAGGCACTTGCCGAAAGCAAAAACCGACAAAAAAAACATGGAATTATTTAACCTTTCTCGATTTCATATCGTTTATAGAAACATGTGGATTCATTTTCCGATGGTATTCCAGGTTAGCTTCCCGAATTTCTGCAACCGCAGTTGTCGGTTGATTGATCAAACCACCAACACTGACATAAAAAACTTGGCAAATTGACTTGGGTGTCACACCAATAGGTGGTACCACTTATGTCTCGCTTGCGCTAGACTTTCAGTCTAACACGTTACAAACCTGCCAAGCTTTCGTCTCAACCGATCAGAAAGTATAAGCAACTAAAGGCTGACTTTCGACCAAAAGATGGGTCAGATGTCAATCTTGGTGAAGTGCCCATCAGTAAGTTGAGGACCGCTCAGAGAGCGGAGGTGGATGGAGTATCAAGTTTTCCTCGCAATTTAGTTGTAGGGCGAAGTTTTTACTTCAGGGCACTCAACTCGGGAGGGGCATGGGGGAAGTATGCGTTCCAACCAAATTCAAATACTCAGTCAGCATAGGCAGGCAAATCAAAATCAATATGTAGTAATTATTAATTCACTTCTCGTTTGCTAATGATATTTCACTGTCTTATTTAGAAAAAACTAAGAATTCATTAGGAAAAAATGTGAACGAACGACATGAAAAATTCATAAATAGTTGAATATTCAAGACTAATAATTGATGGAAATATGAATTCTGAAATTCACATTTGTATAATTGAAGGTGATAGCAATGAAAAGAGTAATTTTTTTACTCATATACAAGTTTTAATTTGTAATGCTCATGTTCTCTGCCATCTGACCTGGTTCTAGACTTGTTCGATGTAATAAGCAAATGAAATCTTATATATTTATAAAATTAAGTACTAAATCGTTTCACTGAAAACTCTTACCGGAGAGTGTTGAGTTGACGAATCCCACCAACGACCCATTATGCTTATACCTGTATACTTCTCTTGCCACAAAATCGCTGGTGAAGGCAATTACAAAAGCCTGAAATGAATAAACTCATAAAACAAACAAATAGAAAAATTCATTTTGCTCTACAGGAATAACATTTGATAATAGTCTGCCGAATATATAAAGAACATAAATGGTGCCATTTGATTAAAGGAAACTGCTACAAAGTATACAGTATATTTCCTTAAGCAGCGGAGTAATGAATTACTGTTTAATAGAACACAGAGAAAGAATATTCGCTCAAAAACAACTCGTGGTGTAGGATGTGCATTCGTAACGAACGAGACTGCCTGTACATTTTCTTTACATGAATCTGCCACTATTTTCACTGGAGAACTTTATGCCATCTATAAAGCTGTTTCCTTCATTAAAATGGCACCTGGTAAAGAGTTTTTGATAATTACGGACTCTCTCAACTCCCTTATTTTTTTGTTGAAAATATATACCCATCACGCACTGGTAAATATGTTTAAAGAGGAGATGAAACAACTAGATAACAGGACAGTTAACCCTCCTATGGGTTCCTTCACGTACTGGGGTTTTTGGAAACGATATAGCCGATAAACTTGCCAGAGAAGCTGCATGTAATCTCAGTATGAAAGCATTGCCGATAGATCTCAAATCCTATTTCCATTGCAAAATTGTAGAAATATGGAATCACCACTGGTCTCAAAAACCTTCCAAACTTAAGGAAATCAACAACAACAAAGCAACACTCCGCTTCCATCAAGTCATAATTACAAGATTACGACTGGGCCACACTCGCCTTACACATGAACATCTATTGAGGAAAGAACCTCCACCAAAATGTTTCGCGGGTAAAGTGCTTGTGGACTGTCAATCATGTTCTGGTAGAGTATCCGCTCTTCACAGTTGAGAGACTGAACAATAAAATTCCCTCCAAACTAAGTGAATTTTTCTAAAATACCAATACCAACAATATTGTTGAATTTCTTAAAGAATGTAACCTTTTATTTAAACTGTAATGCAACAACTGCATGTTTTAAATATATTTTATATGTTTGCCGCTAATAGCTACGGCTGATGCGGTTTTTTCTAAATAAAAAAAATATTCGCAACCCATATTTGTAAGCAAGAAATACATTATATTTCATTCTATCGAGAAGGATCACAATTTTGGTATTGTATGTTTGTATACCTGAATACCTGAACTTAGCTCTTCGACGGGGCAAAAGAAATTAAAACTGTTTTAAATTTGGTGAAGTTTTCAATATTTCCTACGATCCTGGCTGCTTTGTTCTGCTTTTGATACTTTGATAGCTTACAGGAGCCCGCCTAAGGTTTAGTCTTGGGTAAAATAGTCTCAAATCATCACCTCGGCGAGTATTGTGGTCATGTATCATATTTTGTTTTTTGTAAGATGTGATTCATTTATTTCTCTTTTTTATAGTGGAGTAAAAATCGAGAATGTAGTACATAATATGCAAAACAATTTTTTTAAATAAACTAGACTCTGCTATTAAAAAGCTGGATCTATTGAGCCAATATGTGTAATTTCTTCTACAAGTCACACAGAGAAATGCAATAGCAGAGGCAGTTGAAACACCAGATAATTTGAGTTTGCCAATTGATAGCGGTCGGCCGATTANGCTAAATTCATTGAAAAAATGGATAAAGTGTTTGATATTTTGAATTCAAAAAACCTTTTTTCGAAACATCAAAACAAATTGATTTTCTGAAAGAAATGAAAATATTTTTCAGCAGATTAACTGTAATATCAAAAAAAAAGAAAAAAACATGACTGGACAAATGAGATTCATTGAAGAATGGCAAATAACAATTTCGGCATTTCTGCAACATTGCGAAAACCTACATAGTGAAGGAGACTCCTACATATTGTGTGGAAAATTATTTTGGTCAACAGAGAAATACTTGTGGAAATGTCAGAAACCCAACTCCTATTCAAATGACCAGAGCTTTCAAAAACACATGTACTCTTCAGTATTTCACACGAGCAGAAGGAACTAACTGTCTAGAGAATACTAGTGAGATTCTATCTAGTATTACAGATGCATACATAAATAGAATGAAGATTCTTCAGAAGGCAACAGCTTGGGCTATGATTGTGGATATATTTTGAGAAAATGTTTAAGGAAACATTCATGTGAAGTATGTACAAATTTTGCCACGGCGGCTAGTACCACACTGAATGAAACAAATGTATATGGTCATTTCAAGGCATATAGTAATACAGTAGCCCAACAGTTGGGAAGTTTATATATGCCTCCAGATTAGTTTTTACAATGTATCATTCATCTAGAGACAGAATTTCTTAATCATTTCAAAAATTTATGTACCACTGATTGCATAGGCAACCAGCTCAAAACAATGTTTTCAAAAATCAACATTCCTCACCCTTGTGATAATTTTTTTTTGAATTATTCATTTTCTCTTTTCACAATTGTAAGAATAGATCATACTTTGAAATTTGCCAATAAAAATCTGAAACCAAATGTTAAAGACAATTAAAAACTGATCATTCTGAAAAAACCTTAAGAATAGATTAGCATAAGTTTTTGACCTAAATTGTATAATCTTACTATATGAAATATACGTTTATTTCACCACCTTGTCTTATTTTTTATCAATTCCTAAACAGTTCAAAATCATATGAGACATTGATTGGGGGCTTCTCGTAGTCAGATCATGGTCACATATTTTTTGATCGAACCTCGTGCAGAGGTGCACAACAGCTCTTAGCCTATTCCCTCCTGCCCCGCTATCTGCCAGCAAAAAATAAAATCTCGACCCGAAACATCAAAGAGACCGACCGGGAGTGAATTTATTTCTGTTTACTTATATACGGTGGCCAACGTGATCTCAGCCGCCATCTTGTGTTCCCTTCACCTTGTATTACTGTTTATTTTTCACAGGAGTTTGTCCTCACTGGTATTTGCTTCTTGCAGGGGTAAATCCAAGTGCAGGAAAGAGTTATTTTTTTTATATTAGGATTTCTAAAAATTTACGGACCATGTCATAGGTTTTAATTATTAATCCTTTTTTTGTATATGGATGTATGGAAGGATGGATGTTGATTTTTTGTAGGTTGACAGTAATCGATTGCGGTGTAATTTTTGGATATATCTCTCATCTCTAAGTCGATTTTTTGGAATCATTCATAAATATAAGTACTGTGAAATAGGTAACATGCTCACAATTTAACCTACCGCCTATCTTTACCTACTATTTATGGCCTTCATGAAATTTGAAAATAGGGCTGAGCAAAAATCCTGAATTTAATGTTGAATGCTGAAAATTTTACTTACAACATTTATTTTCTCAGCTTGAGAACGCTATTGACACTAGCTTGATACAAGGTGGAAGCTTTCAACATCTTTCAAAATAGGGAACTGTTAGAAAAAGAGATGGAAAATATTTATAAATTATTGCTCTAGATCAGGGGTCTCCAAACTTTGAAGCCTTCGGGCCATAATGATATTTTCAGTTTGTTCCAAGGGCCAATTTCTGCCCTCAACTATATTTCTAGACTAGGATAGTCGCAAAGTGCGTGACCTTAGCAAACTTACGCTTTTTTTGCATTTCAATTATTATTGTGTATTGTGATACCCGCTAGGTGGCATTAAGCGTGATTAAATATTTGGAATTACCGCGCTGGTTCGAGAAAGTTCTGGTTCTAGCTAGT